GGTTTTTCAGTCCCCCCCCCCCTTTTTTTTTTATTTTTCAATCGGATATATATCGGATCGGTACTTCGCGGTGGATGGAGTTATCTCGAATTCGCACCCTTTTTTCCTCGAAAAACGGAAAACTGACGCGTGCACCCGCGGTATCGCGGTTTATTGTTCCAACGCGCTTTTCACTTTCGCGTTACTTTTCCGGCAAACGAGGGGAGCTTCATTTTGTACGGGTATATACCGGAAGAGCATAAAGGGCGCAACAAACGATGAGAACGAACGCGCGACGGAGCCCTTTCACGCGAGATGTGTGTTGATGCTGACGCGCGTGGGGGGGGGGGGGGGGGAAAAGTTCCGCTTCGCGAGTCTTTGATCAGGCGGGACTGGAAAATCAAAAGGCAGAGAGGATGGATCGCGCGAAAACGGGAAAGTGGAGCCGAGTGCGGAGTATATACGTATATACATCTATGGTAGCAGGTGGCGGAAGGAAAAAGGGCCGAGAGTTCCATTTCCGTCGAATAATTCGAGTGCACTTTGCACTCTCGCGGGAAAGGTTATGAGGGTCCATCAAGTGCAGCAACACCTCGCCCAACCCCCCCCTGCTCCTACGCGATATTTCGCCTTCTCTCGTGTAACTCGTAAATGGGAAGTCGGCGATGGAAAAAAAGCACGAGCTGCTGTTGTTGCCGAGAAAGAGATCCCGACGCGACGAAAGCGCCCTTTTTCCACACGCGTGCAAGTAACCGTGTTCCATGAGAAACAGAAAGAATGCGTTTATACGCAGAGAAAAGAGAGAGAGAAAAAAAATTATACGCGCACCGTTTCTGTCGCGTGCTAAAAATAGAAGGCGCAAGCGGTAATTATCGTCCTCCTCTCGCGGCGATTCCCCGGAAACTTTGCGCTTAATTAACAAAAGCTCTCGTCGGCGTCGTCGTTATGCGCCTGCAATTTTATCTGCCACGCGAGCCCCGTGTGCTTTACTGTACGTGACACTCGTCGCCGTCCCGAGACGTCCCGGGGAAAAAGGAAGAGGCGCACACAAACGAAGAAACGGTCAAGCAGAGCGACAATTAAGCGCCCCCTCCCCCGTATCCAGCCTTTATTTGGTTGCGCTCGGGCGGCTCTTCTTTTCATTAGGTGCGCGTCCTCTCTCGCATTTCCTCGGGAAAAATCATAAAACCCAGTTATAATACACGCCCCAGCGCCAACCTACTTATTCGCGAGCCACTCGAGCTTCTTTTTTTGTCCTTCATCGTTGTGATTATCATTGTTTTTTCACAAAAGCGTCTCTTCCCGTGCATTAGTCGCCCGAGAGCTTTTTTTTTTTTTTTTTTTCGTCCCCGCGCCTCTTTAGCGCCCCGACGTAATTACGCGCGCGATGACCCGCGTGACGGATCAAATTCATCGCGGATTTTCGCTAAATTAACATTTGAATTCACAAAGTCGACAAAGACGATGCATGTACTCGAAAAATATTTATATACAGAGTGAATTCTCACCCAATGCGTCGATCGTCCGGAAGGGCATAATATGTTGTACTCCTAACGGAATTCCAGCAATTCCACGTGCTTACCTGTGGATCGCTCCGTTGTTCCGTTCATTGTGGATGAAATTTTAATGAACGTCGCAAGCCGTTCCCCCGTAGACCCATCGCGGAATAGCTCAGGGATAAAACGATGGCATCGAAGAGAAAAGCAGCGGTATCGGGGTGACGATGCATAATTGACAAAACAATCGCACGGGGTCGGAATGGACGCTTATATTAGGTACATGTATGGGTATTCGCGTGTTTGTGGGAACGGCGAGACGCCAATTGCTTTTCAACGTCGCAATTTAGCCCAGGGGATCCCAATTGCCCCGTTATACACTCGGCTGGGATTGTCCGTGGAGTACAACTGGTTTCCAACTGCATGTGGATGTAAAATGTACGGATGGTGGGCATCGGCGCGCGCTCCTTCGTTAACCAAGTTTGTTAAATTGCGGGGCTGTGTGGCCATTGGTATACGTAACGATGGATAAGCGTCCGCTCAAGGAGTTCGTTAACGAACGTTTATTAAGTTGGCCGCTATTAGCGGAGGAAAAGTGAGAGAGAGAAACATCTATACGAGTACTACATGTACGAGGTCCAGCTGACGCTGCCATCGTCCGTCTCGGGCTGCATCTCTGCTTGTTTCCCCGGATGTGCTCTGTATACGGTGCGCCGATCGATAGCGTTTATACACACGGGCGGACGGATCGGATGGGGAAGAGACGGACGTGCGCTCGTTGAGCCTCCTATATTCCTCGCCGTCGAATCAAACGGCATCGCTCAATTTCAAGCCTCCAGTTTACCTAATCCGACCCGCATTGTTCGAAAGACCCAACCGGTGGACCGGAAAGTATAGCTTCCACGGATATATTGACGGAGTTACAGAGTTCAAAGAGAGAGGGTTGAGCTTCGTTTGACCCTTTACAGAGTTCGAGCTGAGTATTTTTTCTCGTGCTCAAGTAAAAGTACCTTAACCTGTAACAAACCATTAGGAGTTACGTGGCGGCACGTGGTATTAATTACGTATGTATACTTACGAATGGAAACATTACACAAATCAATGAACGGTAAATTTTACTGGGCAATTAAGCCAAAGTTTGTTAAAGTACCATGTAGTACATGGCTTCGAGCTGTGACGATTAATATCGGCACCCTTTTTTTCACTCTCTTATCCGAGGAATGCTTCGGAGTATGGATTATAGATATAGCGTTTTTTGCAAATAGGAGTAGGAAGCGGAGACAAAAGAAAACAATTGAATGAGTTCATCGGCGAGTTGTGGCTACGCGCAAAATTGTGATTTACAATTAATTATCCACTCGCTGTAGGGATAACCGCGGCGACCTTATCTATTACAATGAGACCGCGACTCTCTTATACTTAACTTTCAACCAGTCGCAGCTTCTGCTTACTCTGCTTTTGCCGTTTCGAATGCACGTACGTACATACCTCGGCATACTGTACACGCGTACGAGTGTATATAACTTTGGGTGGGGCCATCGTGCCCCTGTGTCACGGTAAATTAACGAGGGAAGGGGGCAACAATTGTAGGGAATATCACGAACTGGTGTACTTACGCGGATGATGGAAACGCAAGAGTACAGTACGACGGACCGAGGCTCGAGATTTTCGACTTTTATGACGTAGGCTCGCGAGAAATTTATGGTTAACCATTCCAAGCTCGGTACTCGAGAGATTCCCCGGCGCTGCCACCGTTACTGCCGTGCTGCTTTTAATGGCCGCGTGCTAGGGCCATTTTTTTCTCCCTTTTTTTTTTTTTTTTTTTTTAATATAACGCCCTATCCTCGTTAAAGGAGCACCTCTCGATCTACGCTGCAAGTTTGCAGTGCTCGGCCAGGCGAATGTCGAACCGCAGGTACTTTATGCTCATTATAGGCTTGAAATTTCAAGGGAGGTGTTTGTAATATATTTAACGTGTATTCCCGTGTGGGTTTGCGCGAGAGAAACTCGTTTGCGAGCCTTGATAAGACTTTTGCATTTTTGTTGCGATAGCAGGGCTCGTTTGAGCCGTAAAAATAGATAAAAAAAATGTACTTTTCGCAGGTGGATGCGGTAAGTTGATATAAAATAAGGGAAAACTCGTACAGCTCCGTTTATGCTTTTTTTTTGTTGTGTGTACAAAGCTACTTGCAAATTTTTTGTAGAAAAATACTTGTGATACTAATCTCTCGTCGCGAGCTATTTTTAGTTATTTTAGCTAAAATATCTTGCTTTTAATTATAATTTTGCTGTAATTGTTAGCTTTTATTATACGTAACTTAGATGGTATTTACATAGCTTGGATATATATATGTACTCCAAATACACATGAGATAGAACTGAAATTGGGAACAAAGTTTCTTGCACGGAACACCGTCCAGTAATAATTTTCTTGCATCCTGGGATGAGATACGGTAGGAAGAACAGTCGTAAAAAAACACAAAATTCGTCTCTTGATTGAATCATGGTCCTACAACGTTAGTTACAACTCCATTCGGAATGTAGTAAAAATAAACAATTAGAAAGCGACCGGACCGCTTGAAATAAGCAATGATTTGGACTCAAAGTTACGGATAACTCGTGTCCATTTTCAAGTTTAAAATAAATAAAACCTGATATTTGATGAAACCGTGGCATTTTTACCTAAAATTTAAATTTTCTCTAATTTGAAAAACGTTTTGAAATTGCATCAAAACTCAAATTAGAGTTTCAAGTGCTTGATTTTCGAGTTATCATTTCAACTTTATTTAAGCAGATGATCTATAACGATAATAAAACTATTACTTTCGCCATTTTTTTTATGCTGCCACTCTTCATTCCCTTCACAGTAAAAAGTTTAAGTTTAGATGGTGTCCTTGACTTGAACGTTTGTTTCCAGTTTTAATTTTTTCTATCTCATGTTTTGAGGAGATTAATGTACATGTACACTGAAGGTATAGTGTAATTTGTCAACTGTAAGATATTTAATTCTTGAATCTTCATGTTATGGTTGCTTCTATTGTTTAAATGCGATAAATAATATCAAGCATTTAAATTACGCGCCTCACGAATCACACTACCTCGAGTGTACATTTATTATTTCAAATTATAACAGCGATAATAGCGATCGCACGTATTGGTATTTATAGATGTTTGTGGGTATACCTTGCATATATACGTGTTATTTATGATTTGTCAATTAAATCTGATTTTATAATCTCATACAGACTGAGTTTAAGTTTTATGTAACCCTCCCCCCCCTATTGTGTTAACAAAGCATACTTTATGTGTTTTTACATTTATGTGCGCTGAATTACATATTATTTGCAATTTTATCCAAAACAAACATGATGGTTTGAAGTTTTTTGTTTTTATTATTACTGCTATTTTATTACTACTTAAAACTTTTTGTCGCAATTAGTACGCTGCAGCTTAGATTTAAGCTAATGACCCGAGGTAATGATCGACACAAGCGTGTACCAATAAGAAATATTGTACTGCCAACAGACGTGACGATGAAGGTGCTGACGAAAAACGATACGGTCGTAGTGCTGGACTGCCCGGATCGTCAGGGTGGCGAAAAATTCGAGTGGTTCAAGGATGGGAAGCCGCTGGTCGACACTGATCTGTTGAAGAGCAAAAATGGCTCCCTTACCGTCATGTATGGCGTAGATGGCGTTACCGTTTTTGGTAATTACTCCTGCAGGGTAGGAAACGTCTCCGCGGATTACAGAATCGTCAGTAAGTATAAAATTCAGAAAGCCAAATTTTTTAATTTTTTTTTATTTCGATAAGTCGATAAGACATCATTTTTTGGCTGTAACATTAATATAAGATTCGCACGCGTATTATTTGCTTTCATGTTCTGATTGTAACGATTGCGCCCAAAGTACCTATATATCCAGTGTTACCGATCAACAGGAGTACCTTGTAAAATTTTCATGAGAGGGAAATATGTAATTTCTAAACTTATCATTTTAGGACCAACAAATCAAAATCCTCTATGGCATTGCACATCTTTATCTATATCACATAATGGTCCAAAGACTAGCGAACCCTTCGTGCCTACGTATATCTAAGAACATAAAAAAAAATCGTTTTACGCGTGGTGCAGGAAAGCCTGACGTGGTGATGCATCCCTGGACTAACGTGGTCGAGGGGGAAAAGCTACACCTGACCTGCTCCGTGAAAACTGGCGATCCAGGACTGAAGATTCTCTGGATGTTCCAAGACCACAACTACACCGCGCCCATGGGCAGGGTCAAACTGAACAAGGACGAGGAGCGCAACATCAACAACGCGATATTCATCGTCGACGAAGTGAAGCAGATCGACAAAGGCACGGTCAGCTGCATCGCCTACTACACGGGCGTCACCGATCCCCAATACTCCGACGAAGCCTCGACCGTTATCAGGGTCAAGGGCCGGCTCGACGCCATCTATCCGTTCCTCGGTATCTGCGCGGAGGTCATCATTCTCTGCCTCATCATCGTCATCTACGAGAAGAAGCGCAACAAGTCCGAACTCGAGGAATCCGATACCGATCAGAGCCCCGACACGTACGTACAATTTATTATCAACAGATACATTTCAAAACTACGTGCAAAGCAAAAACATGTACAAGTTACGTTTACTGGTGGGGATCGATCCGAATTTCTCCTTCCATTTTCCCTTCCTCCTCCGGTACAGTCTGGGCATAGCTCGTGCAATAGCCTGCAACGGTAACACTTTTACAGGCTCTGCGCGGGACGACACCTCTATCTGCGGTACGATCCCTCTTTTCCCTGGGCGCCCAAACGACCGGCGGATTCCCAACTGAGGTCAGCAGCAGCCTCTCCCATCCGTCCTGACGTTCTGTTTTTCTTGGTTGTACGTCCCTCCGATATCGCTTTACTCCGCCGTGCAGTTTGTTTTCTCCGCCGATTTAGCTCCGGCTGGCCCTGGTTGAATCGAATGTCTTGCTGGCAGGGCTTATTTATTTTTGCACTGCAAGCCACCCCCATCTCTCTCTTGCTCTCTTTCCTTTTTACCTTACCGATAGATTCGCGCGGAAAAAACTTGTTGCCCCACCGGGTCAAGCCTTTGGGAAATACTAGTACAAATAATGTAATCGGGTGGATTGGGCAATTTTTGGAAAATGTGTGATTTTTGTGGATTTTCTTTTGTTTCGGAAAAAAACAGCAAGCCCACACCCAACAAGGACTCGGACGTACGGCAGAGGAAGTAAAAGCCGCGAACTCGACCAACCCGAAGCGGCGCAAGGAGGCAAAACGGAGCTGTAAGACACGACATGGGAACGATTCGTTTGCGAGAAATACCAAAATGAACCGCACGGACGAGACTGGGCAAATCTTTGACCATCACCAACTAGTGCGGCAACAGACTCAATACCCGTGGTCAAGATCGGCAGATCAACTGTTATTTTTGTTTAACAATTCACGCGTCGATTCGCACAGGTCGAAAGTAAAAATAATCAAGCTCTTAATGTGCATGGAATGTATAATTATTCGTGTATGGTACTTATTTCTTCTGATTCCGCTCCGGCGTCGAGCAGCCTTTTTTTCTCGATAAATTTGTTGAGAGTTTAAATTATATGATAAGAGAAATTTATATCGCTAATACTGTTAAATAAAAGAATGAGGAAATTTGAGTATATATGTATATCCAAACGAACGGCGAGATTACGTAGCGGAATATTTGTATTACGTAATCCTGTAGAGTTTTCTTTCTTTTTTTTTTTTTCTTTTTTTTTCTATCTTTTTTTTTTTTTTTTTTTTTTAATATAACGCCCTATCCTCGTTAAAGGAGCACCTCTCGATCTACGCTGCAAGTTTGCAGTGCTCGGCCAGGCGAATGTCGAACCGCAGGTACTTTATGCTCATTATAGGCTTGAAATTTCAAGGGAGGTGTTTGTAATATATTTAACGTGTATTCCCGTGTGGGTTTGCGCGAGAGAAACTCGTTTGCGAGCCTTGATNTATTATGATTATTGTTGTTACTATATTTCTTCCTAAAATTAAATCGTGGGTGAATTTTTTCTTTTATTTTACATTTTGGAATAAAGTAAAATTTTACCATTATTCAATAATCACATACCTGGACATAACAACTAAATCTTTTTTATGGCATTATTGAAACTGTAATTAAGAAAAACGAGCATAACAAGGCAGAGAGAAAAATTACGTTGTTTTATCCGAGCTTGTAAACACTATTGTACTATCTCGGCACCTCGCCTGCTTATGCAATACTCGAGCAATACCCAATCGCTTCTGTTTTTAACAATTTAATGATCGTTTATTGCCATTATTACCATTGTCATGTAATAAATTTTAATTATGAACGAGTTTATCGTTACACGATCGATCAAAATCCTTTTCTTTTCTGTCCCCTTTGAGTATTATCTTTAGGATTTTAATTGTTACTATTTATATTATTAATATTATTATCATCATTGCGCTAAATATATATATATATCTCATTAGAGCTATACATAAATAAATCGAGACCAAACATCACGTTAGTGTTACTAAATAGCGCACGAATTTTCTTCGTGCACGGCCATGTGACTATATATAAATAAAGAAATTAAAGAGAACAAAGTAAAAAAAAAAAAAAAATGAAAATAAAGTGGTTCCTCGTTTCTTCGGGAGATTGCGACTTGTATGTATATATATTCTATTATATACGAATTGCTGCTATCCTTTCCTGAGAAAGCGATTTCATTGTCACAATATATCTTTATATTAACGATTCTCTCTCAATCAGTTTCATCAAAAATATATATGTCTCGTTACGAACTTCACTTTCAGTATATTGATTGTTACTGTCCACGAAAAACATAAAAATTCAATAAACACGTATGTGGTAGGTAGAGAATAAAGAGGCATATTGTACTAGAAAGAAAAGTAATTTAATTATTGTGAGAGCCGTGTGTTCACGCTTTTCGATCTCCTGACGATACTCGACAGTGTTTCCAACACCCTTATATGCCTTTCAAGGTTTTTGAAGTAAAATAAACGATATTGACACGTTAAACATGTTTTGTTTTCTTTTTTTTCGTGTCTGTCATTTATCATTCCATTGATCTTTACATTAAAATAAATTTTCCTAAAAGATTTTTCCATCTGTGTGGTCCTCCATGGATATATTATGTTTGAAAACAAACTTTTGCTGTATTGTGAGAAATCTATTTGTACTAAATAATTCAAAGTATAAGTAATAATATGTTTTTATTTTTTGTCAAATAAATCGAAATACTTGAAATGGGTTAAAAATGTACAAACATTTCATTTCTCATTCATGATTTTCATACTTATGTTGAGAATGAAAAAACATTTTAAAATTAATCAACTAAAAATAAACTTAACAATTATGTTAGGATTTTAATTTTCTTGAAAAGTCCTTGATTTTTCTCGTTAGAAAAATTTATAAATTACAAACGTTTAAATTACATTGGCTTAACCAATCTAAAGATTACTGTTGCCATAAAGATCGAGCAAATATACACGCATGCTCCATTAGTTTGATGCCTCGTCAGGTGCCGCAGAAATATGTGTATATAATTTTACGTAGAATTTTCCGTCATAAAGTTATTTATTTAATATGTATAAAAATAATCTGCACACAAGTGACTGGCATTGTTGAGCATTTCACTTATTTACATGTTAAAGCTAAAACTTTTGCAAGTTTTTGGGGTTTCTCAATGTCTGTAGTTCTACGTAATAACTTTATAATATAACAAGTTTTACAGTACGTTGTAAAACTCTTTTGTAACTTGAATATTGCTTTTTTTACGAGTTACGACGAAGTCAAACAACAATATCGAGTAAATCTCACATTTCACACCTAACATACTTACGTTAGTAAAAATACAAATCAACGATGTCTTTTAACAATGATAAGTGTCATATATTATGTACATACAATATTATTGCAATTTTTTAATTGATACGAGATTGAGAAATTCGCGACTTTGTGTATTTTATGTCTTCTTCCACGATATTACTTTATGTCTTCACGATTCACGCACTTCTCAATCCAACACCTCAACAACTGGGACGTTGCATGAAAGAATCGATGACATTCGTCAGGCAGACTACCAAAAAATATTGGACACAGTTTCCCTTTTGTCGTACTCGTCGAATGTCTTTTTTTTCTTCATATAATATCTGAGGCCAGTTAAAATAGAAAATTTTCGTTCCATGCAACATCTCAGCTTATAGTTAATAGATAAAGTAATGTATATATTTATAAATAATACAAAAACATATTCTTTTCGAACTGTACCTCGCGCGATAATTTGATTATTGTCGTCCATCCCTACCTGATTAACCTCCGCCATCGGAGCACTTGCACACAAACAAACAGACCACTCGTGCAACGGATCAAGTAATTACTTGTGCTTCTGATTGCCGTAGTCGACGTAGACTCGCACGACCTCGCCACTGTACTTGCGCTGCGAGGGCATGAAATAAAAATCCGCCGGCTGCGCGTGATGGCCGTTCAGCCCTTTGCCATTGTTGGCGTATCTGGGTGTGTTCCGCCGGTCCTGGGTGTAGTAGCCCTGGCCGGGCCCACCGGCGGGAGACATGACCGTCGACGGCCTGGGCCCGGGTGCTCGGGGCAGACTGTACGTGGCCCGGGGTCCCGGCGGCATCATCGCGCTCATGCTGCTCCTCTGCTGGGGCGGCTGCTGCTGCATCTGCGTCGGCTTGTGGTGGCCGTCGACCGCCGAGTGGCCGTTGGTCATCATCATGGACTCGCGGGCCCGCGACAGACTCGATATCGGCGGCGGTGGCGACTTCTCCTCCGTTTCGAACGCCTCAAAGGCGAAGTTCGTGTTCGCGCTCGACGAGTAGTCCCGCCACGCGTTCTTGGCGATCAGACGATCCTGCAACGAGAGGTATCGGTATAAACGTTTTGGCCCCCGTTACTCGTCATTTCTCGAATATTTTCACTGACATCGTACTCCTTTATCAAAAAATCAAAATTTTACGTTGCGGTGGTGCAAATTTAACTTTGTGGAGGAGAAAAAAAAACCTGTACGATCTATAGTGACGTGGTTCCAACATTCCGATGGGATTTGTAAATGTCATGAACAGAAGCAGAAAAATTTCACAAAGAGCCACGGTTCATCTTACGTAACTAATGCACCTAAAAGTATGTGTGTGCAGCAGAGATTAAGTAAAAGGCATGCAAAAACAGCGATAGACAAAAAAATAATCTAGACATGCGATGTAGACGAGAGAAAGAGAGTAGGTACGGGCAGGAGCAGATGAGAGAACGAGAGATACCTGAAGGATCTACGTGTAATAGCAGGTAATGGGTAAATCAATGTTATCGCACGCGCGCACACACAACAACAACGGCACTCACTACCAATTTTGCGACGAGCGATGATGCATGTTCGGTGGTAAATGCAACTGCTGCGGCTGTTGGTGGTGATAATGGCGTAGATCTTGTTGCTGCTGTTGCTGGTGATGGAGATGGTGGTCACTTTGCCGGTGATACTGATGTCGCGACGTGCCATTTCCATTGACCGATGGGGCGTGATGGTGATTGGTCGTACGATGATGGTTGTTGTGGTGGTTGTAGTGATTTTGGTGGTAAGGATTGTTAGAGCCCGACATCATCGTTCCGTTGCCGCCGATGCCAGGCGTACTGGCCAGGGGCAGCGAGTACACCCTCTGATAGCGACCGATCGTTCGATTGATTCGTTGTATTTGGAAAGAGAAGTCGCGTGCAATGATCGTGCGTGCGACGGCACATGCAAAAACACAAGCAAAGCACAACCTTTTTCTTTTTCTTTTTTTCTTTTTTTTTTTNTTTTTTTTTTTTTTTTTTTTTTTTTTTTTTTTTTTTTTTTTTTTTTTTTTCAAGCACATCCTCGTCCTCTCTCTTCCGACCGCTCCTCTTTCTCTCATTGCTGTACGTTTTTTTCTTTGTTTTTCATTTAAATTTCTTTCTCGGGTGTAGTGCAAAAGCTTATCATTTCGAATTACTTGTTGATTTTTCAATTGGTACCATGCTACATGGTTCCAAATGTATATACTTGTACGTAAATTCAGCCAGCACATTTTTTGAGGATTGAAGAAGGAAATGAAAAATGAAGGAAGAAAGAGAAGTTGAAGAAAATAAACAGGATACGTAAGTGCCAAGAAAAAAAAAAGAAAAAAAAGAAAACAAGATCCAACAAATTTACATTGTACACAAAAGACACGTGTGTACTCGGATACCTCGGATACGTTCAAGCATGCAGAAGAAATCAGTTTAAAAGTACAACATTCTTAACGATACTTTTCAACACGAAATACATCAAGCAGGAATGTAAAAAATATCAAAGAGGCATTTGTGTAAACTGATGGGATAGCCATACCTTTGTCGTTCGCTTCTTCGAGGCCTTGTACATGGTGCATCCAGCCTGGAAGACCAAAAGAGCCACCAGGACAGCCACACTGCCTATGATCACGTAAGCCTTCGTGTCGCCCAGAAACAGCCCCGCCATCAACGAGTTTTCGCTCCCCTGATTCTCGAGATCGTTTTCCTCCAGGTCGTTCTCTGCAAGCAAAAATCGTCTCGAGTTACACGTTGCCCCTCTTCTAAAAGTCCCCGCTAAACTTACGCGTGTGCGAGCGAAGTACGAGGTACTGCGGGTCAACCGTGAGTGCTCCAACCTTTCCCGTCCCCAGGGCCTCCGTGAGGGCCGCCTCGGCCATGGCAGCGGTATCTTGGGGCCTCAGAGCCCTCCCCTTGATCTCGTTCTTGTCGATCGCCAGGTTCATCTTCGCGATGACCGCGTTGTTGCCGTTCCTACCAACACAATCGAGAAATCAGCCGCGCAGTTTTGCATTGCTTCCCAAAAAAAGGGGCTTACGCACTTTCGAACTTCGTTGAGCTTCAGCTGGTGGAAGCCCGGAACCTTTTCCAGGGTCGGGGAGAAACTCCCGGCGATCGTGTTGGAGAGGTCCTCAAAGTCGGGAGTTCCCGGCATCGGTGCCCTGTAGCCGTCGCCGAGATTCACCAGTCTGACTTCGACGTCGTAAAACAGACGCGGAGGCACCGGCGTTGTCGCTTCGTCCTCCTCTGCCATTGGGAAGCGCTTGTGTTAACAAAAGCCACGCGGTGCGAAGTAACAAAATTTGGACTCACCATCTATGCCGCAGGACTTGATGCAGACTTTTTGGGCGGAGACGATGGGTACGGTCTCGTGTTTGCGGATTTTTTTATTTACGGGGTTGAAAGTGCCGCCCTTGACCGGGAACATCAGATAGAGGCACTGGTCGTCGGTGAAAGACAGGTCGCGCGAGTCCCTCGTGTCCCGCTTCCTCGTGAATTTTAAGGTGGTCTCGCCGTTGTCGATGCGACCGCTGAAGTTGAAAATGTCTTGCTGGGGATCGAGGACTGGCGAGTTGTAGCCGTTCACCCAAGTGTCCATCAGGAACGCCCTTCCGCTGGTCTTGTCCACCCATCCGAGAATGGCGTCCGTGTGCGACTGTGTATGGAAAATTTGCAGTCGTAAAAGGGCGTTTGCTCGATACCTTATACCGTACAAGTGGCACTTACCATTTTCTCGTCTTTGGAGAACGCGATTCCCGTCCACGTGTCAACGTTCTTTGTCACGATTGTGAAAGCGACTTCCTCCTGGAAAATAAACGTTTAGTTGTTACAAGCGGAAAAACTCGATGAGTGCTAGTTTCTCTCTTTTTTTTTCCTTCAACGTACAGTCCTTGCTTTGTATAACCACTTGATGCGGTACTCGCACGTGTAATTTTCCGGTGAGCAGTGCCGAGGGTAATGCCATTCTCCGCCACAGCCTCCACCTTCCATTGTCACTCCTCCGCCAAAATCTTCCCTTCCTTTCTCCTCTGAATCGTTATTTTATCATCAATACAAATGTAATTGCAAGGAAAAGTGATTCGAATGGTCATCTACGAAAAATACATGATTACCAAAGAAATTGATGCTCGTTACTCCTCGTTGGGACTTGTGCCCGTGGTACTTGAGTTCATCGGCCTTGTAAAAGTCCTTGACGCTAACTTTACTCTGCTCTACTCCACTAGCAGGCACGTGGATGTATTTACCGGGCTCTTGACCCTTGGCCCAAATGACCTATCATCGATTCGACATGTAATAATTTTCAACTTGTTCGACACAAACTTCTTTTCCTACCTGCATAGCGCCATCAATGATCTCATGGTCGCTGAAGTGTTCGTCGCTCGCGAGTTTGCGCCTGAAAAGAATCGTGGTAACACCGTCCCTCTCGAAGCCCATTGCAGCCGTGAGACTGTCCTTGCCACCCCAGAAGGAGTCGGGGTGGGGTGTCGATCTGTCTCTTGTGTAGTAGTCACCGATACGGTGCTTCATTCCTCGAGCCGAACCGATAACTATGTCCGTACAGTCCATCGGATTGAAGTCGTGCTTCGGAGTGTACTTATGTAGTCCGACACCTGGATGGCCAACTATTTTTTTTTGCACACATTGTCGTTACATGTACGAGAGTGAACGAATGAAGGAATGAATTGCTCAAAGAGAGGAAAATAACAGAATAGTTCACGAAAGGTTGATTTTACAGTTCTATATATCATCGATTGGCGTTGACAGCAGAGAGAGAGAGAGAGAGAGAGAGAGAGAAAAAGTTGTCAGACTTTTTGATAAAGACTAAGAATTTACCTTTGCTCGTTCCTGATTTTTCATTAGACTGTTGTTTTGAATCTTCCAAATAGGGCTCAGTCGAAGGTTCTGACCTGGGCTCTGGAGAGGATTGTGATGATGGCTCAGGTTCGGAGGACGGTGGTTCAGGTTCAGAGGATGGTTCAGGCTCGGAGGATGGTGGTGATGATGGCTCAGGTTCGGAGGAGGATGGTTCAGGCTCAGAGGACGACGGCTCGGGTTCGGAGGAGGATGGTTCAGGTTCGGCGGATGATGGCTCGGGTTCGGAGGAAGGTTCGGGTTCGGCGGATGATGGCTCGGGTTCGGAGGAAGGTTCGGGTTCGGCGGATGATGGCTCGGGTTCGGAGGATGGTTCAGGTTCGGCGGATGATGGCTCGGGTTCGGAGGAAGGTTCGGGTTCGGCGGATGATGGCTCGGGTTCGGAGGAAGGTTCGGGTTCGGCGGATGATGGCTCGGGCTCGGAGGATGGGGGCTCTGGGGAGGGCTCGGATTTAGTCTGAGGAGGTTCTGGCTCGCTGACTGGCTCCCCTGTGCAAAAAAGCAACACATGCCACCATTTATACCTTCACCTTGTGAGTTAATGAGTTTTTCTACGAGGTACTCGATGTATGGAAACAAAAAAAAATAGTTACACATTGTGCACCGGCAACTCATCGTACCTTTTTTCTATTCTTTTACGTATGTATGTATAATTAATATTTATATATATTATGCCAGAGCATGGTACATGGCGTGCGAAAGGAAAATTTTCACTACGTATGCATTTTTGCATGCTTATAGCCACGTGTTCCGCGAGTCGGGAACAATTAGAGGATAGCATATACAGCTTGCTTTCGCTGAAAAGCAGCGAAGCTAATCGGTCATTTACATAATCTGCAGGTAGCGCAAATTCCCCCCCTCAAGGGTGCGTGTGTGTTTTTAGTCGCATCGTTCTCTACTTCGTTGAAGAAAAAAAATTTTACACATCGTCTCCACGTAACCTTTATGTCTTTTTTGCTTTAGCATCTTCAAAGTGTACCAGCACCTATCATCTATTATTATCGTGTGTGGTTTTGTAAAATTTCTTTCAGCGCTAAATTAAAACGTCCCAACTGTGTTAATTATTTGTGACGTGTATTCAACTACATATACTCTTATGTACAATCAGTTTGAACGTTTTAATTATTTTCGATAATGCAGCGTTTCATTACATCATCATGCAATCTTGGATCTTTAAAACGAATACATCATGCTTTGCCTTTTTTTTCGCGCTTCTCGCTTGGATTTCTATACGACCGCTGTGCAGTTGCAGGTTAATGCGTGAGACATGTCACTTGAATTGTGTTTTATTATTATCATTATTATTATTATTATTTTGACAATAAATTGTCTTGCTATTGTGATAGGCTGCGTGTCGATTTGAACTAGATGAGAACAATTTGCGTAGAGCCCTTGGATTTGCGATTCATTCAATGAGGATGTGTGGCTTTCTCTCTTTCCCGATACATATTATTGTATCGTATACGAATCGCGTGAATCAAAACTCTCTCTTGGGGATCGAATCGCATTTGCTACACGCGCTACACGCTATACCTCTAAATAATTGAAAACAAAAACTTACCGGTCGGCTGGGGATCCGGCTGGGGCGACCTCTTTTTGCGACCTGGCGGAAAACAACGCCGTTAAACGAGCGACCAGAGAAAAAAAGTATAAGTACACTAAAATGGCCCAATCCCGTGGGGTCGCGCAAGCGTTACGGAGTTACATATATCGCCAAGCGCTCGTGAAATCGGCTTCCTTACCTTGTTTCGTGCTGACGCGGTAAGTGACGCTCGTCTGGACGGTGACGTCGCCGTCCGGCAGCGGAGTGACGGGATCATCGTGCTTCGCCGAGCGCTTGTTGTTACCGTTTAATTTTACTTGCTTGGCTTCGGGCTCCGGCTCCGTCGACGGATTGGCCTGCCTGGAAATTAACGTCAACCATCCAAACGATTCTTTTTATTGCTATTATCGCGTACGCGTCGACACGTACGGAAACTGTGTGCAAAGTGGAAATTTTACAACGTCTAAGCCTCCGTCGTGAACCGTAACGAGTGACGTTAGAAACTTGATTTATCGTCTTCCCTAATAGTATCCAAATGTATACTATGTGAAAAGGTATACATCACTTTTATACGAACCGTTTCTAAGTTTAACGATATTGCACGTATTGAACGACGTTGGATACAATTTTTAGAAAATCTAACTGGCGTATGAAAAAATACGAAACGGCGAAAGGCTCTGGTAAAAGTGTCAATGGTGAGTCTTTAACCGAAGTGAAAAATGTACGCTTCGACCCGTATCGCTCGCTAGATATGGCATCGAAGATCCAGTATTTACCAAAAGCTTATTGTAAATAAATCTTATGTGACGTTACAATCAGATTTTAATTGACCATTTACGCGTAAAATTATTTTACCCGTGCAAGTATGCACGACTCCACGTGCAACAAAAGATGGAAAAACGGAACGCACCTGTCGTTGGGCTCCGGTTCAGGCTCGGATTTGGGCTCCGGCCGCGGCAGGGGTTCCGGAGTGCCTTTTTTGCCCCGCTCGCGGATCTCCGGCACCGCCCGGCAAGCCGAGGTCAGACCACTCGGGCGCCAGCCCACCCCGACCCAGCTGGTCCCGTTCACAACCGCCACGCCCTCGAATTCCTTCGAGTCCTTGAGGATACGCCAGTAGAAGGTGAAATCGTCGGAGAAGCGCTTCATCGTGTACGACTGAAGGTCGAGGTCGACGTTCTTCATCACGGAGCCTGGAACGAGATAAAAAAAAAAAAAAAAAAAAAGCGACGCCGGATTGAGTACACGTATACGGCTGTGCATGCTCAAGCGAGCACAATACACGGGGAGGATGCAGCCCGATCCAAGAGAAAAAGGAAGGAAGAAAAAGCGAATTATTGTTCGGGGCGATAACTCACGTTTCGAGCATCCGGGGCCGAACCAGCCGATGTTGCAGTAACAGTGTCTGGTTGGCGGGGTCGTGCCCCCGTTGTCGATGCACACGCCCTGGGTCCCGCAGTCCGAGTCGTCGAGGCACTCCTCGCGGTACTGGCAGCGCGCCCCGTAGAAGAACCTGTCGCACCTGCAACGGCCCAGCACCGAGCGCCCGTGGCCGCTGCAGTCCTCCCTGTACGCTTTCTTCTCGACGATCTGCGGATCGGTACGACAATTATGATACACCATCGGTGCATACTCTACTTTTTGTGTAAGCTAGTGTTGTTGTTTTTTTTTTTTTTTTTTTTTTTCATCCCCGAGCGCACATGTCAATATTGAGCAACGAAACGAAGAAGGTTGATCTGCCTGGCAAACACACGCCACGCAGGCTGGCCTATTATGGTAATGCCGCGAGTTTCGTCATTACCCTCCCCCCACTTCCCGGAGATCTCATTAAAGCGCTCAAGTACCGTAAATGCAAAGCGATTATACACACGCTCGCCGGTAACAATCGCGTCTTCTTAATAATCTTACGATTCGAAAACAAAACGCAATTTGCGAAACATCCTCCCGCGCAAAGCGCGTATAATATAGTGTAATGTATTTTAATTGGCCCTTTTTCGTTTTAACCGCTGTAATTTGTACAATTTAAATCTCGTTACTTCCTTTAAATTAAAGAAAGAAAACGCGCACTTCATTAATCCATGCGTATAGATTGCACACAGCTGATCCTTGGAACTTTGATTTTTTGGGTAAGTGAAATATGTTACCAAAGATACATATATATATATGTATACTCACGTCGACGTCCGCGCAGGACCAAAACCTGTACGACGTGCCCCACTCCTCGGCCTCCCGCAGTAGTCTGATGGTGCAGTCGGTGCAGGTGAAGTTGGCCGGTAGCTCGACGGCGTAGCTCTGCGCGCTGCTCGTAAACAATCAACCCCATCGCCGAGGAGGACGTGACAAATAATCAATAATATACATGGAGAAATAGAAAAAAAAAAAAAAAAAAAAATTGAGTTTGTTGTTAAGTATAACACACTCACGTCGCGTCGGTCTCGACGAACTCGCTCTGCTTCGTCACCGGAGTCAGGTCGACGAGGGGCCTGTCCAGCGCGTCCAGTATTTGAAGTCTGAATCCTCCCTGCGCAGAAATAAAAAAAAAAAAAAAACACAATTACTTTTAACATGAGAGATGGAATATTATGTCCTCGATAACGGAAAGTCCTTGCGAGAACCGATACTCAATATACTTAATATTGTACCCATTAACCGGTAAGCATCGGTCCCCGCGTCCGCGACAGTGCGAGCTTTCTTCTCTCTCTCCCTCCGGCTTGGCCTACTTCCGACATTTCGTAACAACCTTCCAACGAGTGGCCACACAAACTCCTCGGTATGCGCTCGAAATTTCGTGCGCAGATTACAATGCAGGTATAGGTGAGTATACACACTCGATGTGTCCCGAGCAAAATGCAGTCGAGCACCACCGCGAGGGCTTGCCGCAATCCTCGACGGGCCCGTTTCAAAACCCGCGGCTCCTCTCGTAAGTAAGTACATATATATATATATGGGGCTCTCGCGCGAGAAATCTCTCATACTCCGAGAACAGGTATACAAGCATAACTCCGCAAGGGCGAGCGTGTCTTGCCGTTCTCCATCTCATGCGCCCGATGCGTGTGTTTTATGTACACGAGAGAGCTAAAGCCAGTCCGTTTTGCTCGTAAATCGCGGGGAAAATAATACCGCGTGAGCGTTACTGCCGCAGTCGGTAGCGTACATAAATATATACATGCACCATATTGTGTCAGGTGCTGAACGGAGGCGAGTACACATTAATGGCACATGTATATATACACGTTTGTGTACACACGAGGCAGTGCAGGAGAGCGCAATGTACCCGCGGCCGTGAAAGGTATGCGCGAATAATAAGCCGCGAGAATCCGGGAGAAAGCTAATGCGCGGAAGTCCCGATAAAGAGGATTCACCCGTTGATATGCAGCTACTCCGCGGAACAAGGAACGATCTTCGATGTTGCGCGTAATCCACCATGGGAAAGTCGTTCTCGCCCCACGAGCCGGTTTAAATTCACCCGGGGGGGGGGGGCCTCTTTTCTTTTTTCCTCCTCGCTTTCTCCCCTTTTTTTTTACCCTCCCACCGACAATGTGGCTCTGCAGCTGCGTAAGGAGTGGTTTTTTTTTTTTCCGTCCACTCGACTTTCCTCGGCTTCTCAATGTCACCGCGACGCGTCACGTTTGCCGCGGGGGGAGACAAAAAAAAACGGAGCACCTAATTGGCGCTCCGAGACAGGCGTTTAATTTCCCCCCGGCTTTTTCTCTCTCAATCTCAAACCGACTGTACCTACTTCTCTCCAAGGATTATTGCGTTGCGTAAGATGAATACCACTGCTTTGGGTGACCGGACGCTTTTGGCTTTTCGCGCGTGAAAAACGCCAATATGTGTACATATATACCCATCGATCGACTCGTCTTAAGCTTTAGGAGTCATCATTGCTGTTGGGAAAAGAGTTTGTTTCATGGGCGAGTACTACTTTTTCTATAGATTTACGTGATTTAGGTATACGAGTATACATCTATGAGCTTAAAGAATTTTCCCAAGGATGTTTGCTTTAATGGCCCGACTGTAGGAGATGTTTGGTATTTAAAAATCTTGGGCCTCTGCAGTAACGGGAATTTAAACTGTGGTTTTTTTTTTTTTTTTTTTTTTTTTTTTTTTTTTCTTCTAATAGCGATTGGTCCGGTACTGCGACTCTGATGGTACAATATAAAAAGTCTATTCGTTCATTTTCGAGTCCACCTACGTGGGAGTAGTCGCAGCGCTCGAAATGCAAAATTGTAATGGGATATATATAGTTGAGACATGTTAATTTTCTCGAAACGTGACGGCACCCGTTTCACCTTTCCTCTCCACTCCTATTACATACACAGAGAGAAAGAGAGTAATCCACCAAGGACACAGACAGCGAATTGAGCCACTTCTTAATTGTGAAATCTTCACTTTTGACTCGTTGACCGAAATTCCAACGGGGTTCAATGACCTTTTCTCACGAACGAGGACCATCGACAAACATGTACGAGCAGTAAAATTGACGCGTTGACCATCAAGCTACTCGAATCCAGTGACGCAAAACAGCAAATATATTCCTTTACCGAGCCGTGATTGACTTTGTTCGTAATCAATACAAGCACATCCGAAGAGAAAAAAAAAGAACCATACCTTTCGCTATACTCGGTGCATCAGAGAAAAGCGCGTACATGCATTGTCGTTGCGCAAAGGCGCGACAGATTTATTACTTCTGTCTTTCAGACGTTTGCTCAACAATAAAATGCCCCCTCGCCAAACGCCTCTATACGTGTGTGTATACCAGAGAAAAAAGAGCTGACCAAGAGAGCCGATCGTACAGGTATATATGTATATATTTATTTATTTATTAACAAATCGATTCCCGATGACTCTCTCTATATACACTATGCGTTACACAGTCGTCGCGCGCCTCTTAGGTATTGAGCAAGTCCCTCGCTCCAACTTACGACGCAATGGAGATTCATGTACTCAGTATATACATATATAGATATACAAGTGTATATAGGCGCACCTGACGCGCGCGTTTGATTATTTCAATGCTCGCACAGGTTGTACCCACACTTGTATATGCTTGGGATCGTTGGCGCGACGCCATCACTGCTTTTCAATGTGTACACAAGCACACGGATTTTGATTTCGTACACCTTTGCGCGTGCTGTCCCTCGATTCAGCTCCGCGGGATAGCAAGGGGGGGGGGGGGTATGTACCGTTGGCTCCGTACATAAACGAGCGCGGCCTTGGATCGTCACCGTGTGTGTGTGATGTATCATATGAATTATATGTGCCTCGGCGTTAATGAAGTTCCCCCTCTTCTCTTACTGGCCATCAAGCCGTTGAATAAATAATTCCTGTACAAATTTTCTCGATTCAAGCGCATTCCCGGGCTCTTGGGGATTCATTAAATCCTTATGGTAATTGCTCTTGCGTGTCGGCCGCGCTGTTTGGCCGCTAATCCATTCTGAGGAATTTCGTTCGTAAAGTACAACACGACAAACCCCCTTGGAATTGTTTGACACGCGCAAAGAGTTGGATTTTTTTTTTTTTTTTTTTTTCAATCGTCGGACAATCGTTCCATTTTCCCTTTCTCCTCGAGCTAAGCGCGATACGGATGTTGGCCGATTCGAGCGAAAACCGAGACAAACGCTCGCGGGAGGGCAACAACATTTCACGAAACCGCGGCTACGCGATCGATATTGTATATACACAAGACAATGTTGTATACATGTGGCCAGAGAGAGGCCGCGACCTCGAAAAATCGATCGGCCGATCGGCAAAGTCCACGTGCTCGGGGTTCGTAATAAGCACCGATTAATACACGTCCCAAGGAAGGAGGAGCCCGAGCGTAAATCCACCCGATGCCAACGAGTAATGTTAAATGTATACATGTTCATGTACACCTGATGCGTGTGTGTGTTTTACGGAACCGAACGAGCGATAGGAAGGAGAGGGGGAGGTGGTCCCACCGCGGCTACATCGAGGGATTCCAGGTCATAACGGTGTCCGGGACGAGCGGCGATAGTCCTCGTCGTCCTTTTGCGTACATATATATATGAACGAGCGGTGCAGCAGTGAGAGAGAGCCCGGGAGCCGGTCCGCGCGGAATACTTCCTTGGAATTCGCATTAACATTATTCCGCCGATCAGTCGCGCCGAGGATGACGATGATCGGCTCCTTCCTCCCAAGCGTGTCCGCCGTTTAGCCGGCGATTACGTACACATCGATCCTCCTCTTTCCATATACCCTTGCCTGGCTCTTCGGCCACGCCATTAGAATTTCAAATCGGCACATTTTTCCGAGTGAGTAACCCCGATTGCGGACGCCTCCTATACAGCCGCAGAGATTCCACACGGGCTCCTTTTTTCTCTTTCGGTGCTCTCTCTTTTTTTTTTTTTTTTTTTTTTTTTCTTTTTTTTTCCAGGGACCGCAATGGCATTAGCTCCACTTGGCGACCAAATCGGTTCGATCGGTTCTACGGATAAGCACCGAACGAATCCAATAACAATCCAACAGGGTAAAGCAAAAGTATTGGTGAAAATGTGGCCTTTCAACGTATTTACGATGAAATAAACCATGGGCTGAACAACAACAAAATGCACGCTTGTGTGTGCGCACTGAAGAAAAAGAAGAAGAAGAAGAAAGAAGCCTCGTCTAATAGCACACTCGCGGAGAGCCGACTCTTAAAATGCAAATCTCCGCTCGTAAAAGTCGGGTGGAACAACGACGAAAAATCTCCCAACGGCAATGTATACATAGATCCGCGACTCAAGTTGGAGGAAAAAAAAAAAAAAGCAACAACGACCCATCCCGTGTGTGCGCGTATATCGGTATACTTATAATGGGATGGAGGGGGCAGCGCGGAAATAACGTTGATTTAGGACGCGAGAACGGTGAGATATGTAACGGCGTTTTCTAACGCGCGCCGCCTGCTGCACGCACGCCCCGGCTAATCGCCTTTTGCATAAAGCATATATATATTTATTATACAGATATATATACACACACGTGTGTGTTGTACCGCGCCTCTCTCCGGCATTCCTTTATCCGCTATATATACACATGTGCCAATGACACCTGGAGGCGATCGCGAGTGTCCTGCGAACACGTTTGTGTATTACGGCACATTAGACGAGGTGACTGGCAAACAGGTATTTCGGATCTATCGGATCATCGATCTTGGATTATTGTTTATTTGCCTTGTTCCATACACCGGCACGAGTAATGCGATCAACTTGACTATACAGTAACGAGATCGTCATCGGGTGGTGTGTTCTTCTCTCATCCTTTTTCATGCGCAAGTAACTGGTGATAAACGTAATCTACCGGATTCCGAACGCTAATTTGGATACACATCGGATCGATCTCACGGGTCATATTAAATTACACGTACGAGCCGATCGTTCGGTCGATTTATTGTATCGGCTGCAATAAGAGTTTATCCCGCACGCGAGTACAGGTATCAGAAAGGGGGGAGAAATCGCATGACCAAAGCTCTGTATAAAACGTATCAGCACCTCCCTGGTACTTGTTATCGTTTCCTTGTTTTTCTCGCTGCAGAGAGGAAGAGAGAAAAACTAAGTTACTTGCTTCCATCATCGGCACTTTCATCGCTGGATAGATAAACACGGAATGGTTGCTGAAAAGAGGCGACGATCGGCAAGAGAGCCTTTGATCCGAGCTCCCTAAAATCGACTCGCTGTGTATTATACCTACGTGTACGAGCGTTCTCGAGATAGATTAGACGAAAGAGAGTGTCTGTGGATTCGATACAAACGAGATTTGTAAGGAATTTACTTATGTGTACGAAATAGGTAGGGGGTTTGCGGGAAGGTAAAAATTGAGCCTCCCACGCCCTGCAATTTTCCATTTCGTAGCAGTTGCGTATTGCATCCACCATCTCGGTTTTGTTCCCTCTGTGATTTTTTTTTTTCTTTTCGTTTATCGTGCTTTCAAAGCGTGAAAAGCATGAGGCGATTCAAAAAAGATATTTGCTAAACAAGTTGCGTAACCGTACACGGTTTTCGCAACATTTGAGGAAATATGTAACGAAATGCACCATATAGAAAACTCTTTTTGATGTATTGTTTAAATTAGCTTACAGGTATGTATATATATANGCTTGTGTCTGAAAAAGGATTTTTCCTTTTCGCAATCCGTTGGAACACTTGTTCGAATATATATATATATATATCGCTGTATTCCCTTAAACTGTTGCTGGAGCCATACTACAAATAAAATACCTTGCGTTATTTGTTAATATTTTGCGCTTCTAGGTGCGATGATATTCTTTTTCCATATTTTTCACGAACAATACATTACGTTATTCTGTATTGCGGAAGCCCTGCGCAACGAGAACGAAAGAAACCACTGTCACCGTCCCTCATTTCGGCTGTGGTGTGCGCTTCTTCGAAGGAATTTTAGAAAAAAAGGCCCGTTCTCTTGTGTTACCCGCGGTTTCTCCCCTCACCGTTGGACGTGTGCTATCTCGTTTGAGGTTCGCGGTGAAAATGGCATTTTTATTGTGTCGTTGCGGCAACGCTTGCATTGACGATCGCGGGCTACCTCTCGCGAGAATCCCCGCGTCTTCCCATCGTTTGTTTCGAATTTCCAAACAAGCGTACTCGCGCGTCTGTGTGCACTTTCATCGAATTATCTTATTATATATATATGTAACGGCAAAAGGTGATTTGAAAAATCTTACGCGCAATACGCCATTCGAACGGCCAGCTAATATAATTTCAAAACGACAACGCGTTTCGCAACTGCGTATATTTTAATTAAAATCCGCCGTTTCGATAATAACCCTCCACGATGAAGCCCGTCCCAACACGTTCGACAATCACACGCAAAGAGACGTCGTATGCACCAACTGCAAGTGTTTGGCAAAACCACTCGCGTGGCGACGATCCAACGGAAAAAGACTCGCAGCATCTGCCGGGAAATCACCGGTTGCAAAATCCACCGAGCGAGCGATGACGGAACTCGCTCGGAAAAGTCCTCAATGGCGCTCGTGTATTATATACTATAGAAAGTCATCGGCACCTCTCGGTCTGCCCTGTATACATGGTGTCCTCGTGCGGTATATATACACAGCGTCGATTCATATAAGCACACACTGAATAATTCACGAGGCACGAGAAGAGGACGACGATCCGTGCCCTCTCGGCTAATCTTGGCTTATGGCTCATTAAGTTCGGCTCGCCCCCGGCAGAGGCATGAATAATGCACGCTTTGCTCTGCTTTTTTTACCCTCCTCTTCCTCTCGGGCCATACTCATTATACTCAGATCGCCGTCCTTCTTCTTCCAAGGCTCTGCTCCGAGGGGTTTGTTTAGCTCGGGAGTTATCCTTCGGTTCAAAGTTTATTCTGCTTCACCGATACGTGTTGGACAAGGTACACACATACGCATACGTCTGGCACATCGAGCTATTGTACAATCCTTGTTTTGTCAGTCCTGTAATGGACGTTGTATACGCGAGAGAGAGAGAGAGACGTGGTTGTGATATGTTGTGCACATCCCACGGGTCTTGTCTTTCATCTGGTCGATCATGAAAATGTAATGACACGGGCATTTTCGAGACAACGGAGTTGTCGTGTGGGTGTGATGTACACCGCCAAGAGGGAAAGTATACATTATATTTCTGTATGGTGATGTATAGCAAACAACAAATCCTCGAACAAGCGCCTGTCAATCGCGCGTACAGGCGTCATCGAGAGAAAAAGTACCCGTTTAAATATATCTCACGTGTGTACGGGTATATACTGGTGTTAATTAAACAGTGTACGTACCCTGTGCGGATAGGCCAAGTGCCACGTCACGTTGAAACTGCTTCCAGATAGCAACGAGGTCTTGATGTCACCTGAAACGAAACGAGAAAAAAATATATATATATTATCGAGGTATAAGATATTTTATATGTTTTTTAGAACGAGGTGTTGGTATAGCGACAATAAAAGACAGATGAATAATTAATAAAGATGTAACGGATCGATAAGCCATTGAAAAAAATAAAATAAACGTATGATTGGCCGATCCGGAATTTAATCGTTCCCAAGTCGTTTTTTTTTTTTTCAAAGCCGGTCGTCGGATCAATTTAAATAGCGGCACACGGCATCCCAAGCTCTTTACTCGCTTCGGCGGGAGATCTCGAGCCCGCGATCGGAGCCCATCGAGCCACCCAAGAGAGAGAAAAATAAGAGATGGACGGGCAGATCTTCTCGGAGCAACGGTCAGCGACACATTTTTCCAGAGTCGCTCTCATCGGAGAAATCTTATTCCCGAGCACACACACGAGTGGTGCCGGTTTCACCGCGAGCCGATTTCCCGTTTCGCGCGCGAGTGCATCAAGGCCGTCCTCGTCCCGTGACCTTCGCTCGGAGAGAGTGTACACCACACACGCCATGTATACCTAATCTCGAGGAAAATCCGAGCAGGCATTAGTTAAAAAAGTTACTACGGTCGGTGAATCGTATGTATACCGTGTGTCACTTTTTTGTCGAGGGGATGGGAAAGGCTCGCATGTAGTTACAGCCTGGCGCTTTTTTTCCCCTGAGTTTATCGTGACGCCGATGCTAAGTTTATACGGGATGCTAAGCTTATACGGGGTAAACATGGGCAAAAGTAGCACGTGACGCGAGCGGAGAGGATGGCTTATTGCGCGGATATGTAGATGGAAAATAATAATAGAGCGAACGAGTGACTTTGCTGTTTTTGAGTCTAAACTTTATAATGAAATATGATTATAGTTCTTTTTTAAGTGGCAGATCTTTGTCGCTTGAAAAAATCAGTTACATCCTGTTTGTCATGACTAAGAGCGTATTATTTTCATTTTCATCCGATAAATAAAGATGTTCGAGAAAAATTAATAAAAAAGGTTTCGGGGACGAGGCAGCGCTGCACGTACGCGTAGGTAGTTAGATTCCTCATCGAGTGCATAATTGGCGTCTTGATGGCGTCTAATTTCAGCACAATTAGCTCCGCACAATGCCTCGATGGAAGGAGAAAAAAAAAAAAAAAAGAAAAAAAGTTTGTCGCTGTAATTAGTCACCGGCTTTCTTATCCATGAAAATCGGCTCGATTCGTGCCAAGGCGATCCGATTCATGCGATCTCATTCGAAGATCCTCGTTGTGCTTACCACGACTGCTTGTGTCTGAAAAAGGATTTTTCCTTTTCGCAATCCGTTGGAACACTTGTTCGAACAATCGGAAGGTCAAAAAATCCCGTATGGGCCCTTCCGGCCATGGTTGTCGCAACATTGTACTCGCTACAGGCGCACAAAAGATGAGACGAGAAGTTTCACATTATCATCGTTGGATCGAAACTTGTACGTAGGTATTTCCCAATCAGAAACCACGTAATTTCTATTTAGACAAATATAATAGCCCACGCAACACTTGCACGGAGTGTAAATTATATTTTCAATCTAATCGCCGATCTTTACCGATGTACCCACATACACGACGAATTCTCGTTCCCAAGGATACGAAGGCGCCTATTTCCACGCTTTTTATTTAAATTCGCGTCCACGTCATCGATCGAAGTGGAAAATAAGCAGCAGAAGAAAAAACGTTCCACCAAACCGTTGACTTTTCCGCAAAACTGGTTAATGTAAGTACTGCACGTATACCTCTAGGAGGAGAATCTTCGCAGGAGGGTAAGAGAAAACAGCGCAAAACGCCGCGATGGTGGGTGTATACGTATCGCGGCCGGTCATTTCTCGGCTGGCTGCGGGCGACGTGACGCCCACGCGCGCATATCTCATTATACGGTGCGTGCGCGCGCGAGCCAAGGGCCCTTGTGGCGGTGAGGAGGCTTGGATCTCTTTGCGGAACATTTTTGCACGGCTCCCCCGGCATGTGGCAACTCTTTTCCTCCGCTTACCTCGATTTTTCCTCCCTATCCACTTTACACGTGCGTGCAAATAGGCGCGTTTTTCCGCGACAAATTTGTTAGATTATTGTTAGCTCGCGCTTCGGGGAAAAGGACGCGCGCCGACGGCCGGGAATGTTATTGTGCTCGTGTGTGATAAACCGGACTCGGAGAGGGTAACGCAACGCGCGGCTTATCCTCGAGCCATACATTTATACGTTGGACCTACGAAAATAATTTATCAAACGGAAAGCCGGCTTATTGGGCTTATTTATTATGATTCGATACAACTGTATTGTTCGAGCTATTTGGATAAGATTGGGAAACACTTAGACCCTCGGGTGCATTTATCTCTAAAGTAATTACACCACACCAAAGGATCATTTTTCTTCTCGGGGTTAACAAATAGGTACTTAACAACGCAAACTTGTACTTTAAAGTTAAATTATTACTGTACGCGTACGCGTACGAAATCACACGTTTACCGAGCAATATATCTTTCCTCCCGGCAAATATAAAACGACAACCTCGAGCACACGCTAGCTCACTCGCCACGGCAGTGTATGCACATCGGTATGAACAAAAAAAAAGAGCTGTGCATTACCTCGTAGGGTATGCGTGCAAATATAAATTTGCAGCTCTCCTCGCGAGGTAGAAATGAAAATGAAAAAAAAAAAAAAAAAAAAAAAAAAGTAGCTACCACGGCAAACACTGGCCGCCTGCGACTTCTTCCTGAGGTATAGCGTATACATACGAGAAAACGTATAAAAAGCAGGCGAGCTCGCGTAACGCAATCGCGGAAGTTTGCCCGGCAGGATAGGATGTGTATAAGTACAGGTACCCACACGTCCGCCGGCGTTCCGTTCGGCGCCTCCTTTCCACTTTCTGCGCCTCGCGTCTCGAGATCCCACCGATAGTCCCGTCATCCACGCGAACGCACGTCGAGAGGATTTTTGACCTATACGCCGTTGTATCTCCTCATATTGTACGTGTATATACATTCATCCTCGACTGCACTCGCGTATATATATGCATCGGAGATGCACCCACACGCCCACGTTTCATTCAACCTCCATAACCAGACGCGTAACGATGACGAGACTCGTATGGGTGAGCGAAAAAAACGCGGCCGAGAGTGAAGTTGTTTTTTTCTTTCTCTTCTTCAACGGTTGCGCGCGAGAAAGTTGTTACCCCGGGCGATTTTTCTTTCCCGATAATTTCGCCCGCTCGTGGCTGCTCTCTTTTCTCTCTCGGCCAGTGCAGTATATACTTGTACGCGCTCGTTTTCCCAGGCGGGTGGTCACTCTATATACCGGGAGCGTGTAACCCAGAGAGCCCACGTAATGCGAAAGTTTTCGCTCGGCTCTAATGATAAACGTAACTTAATAACTATTGTAGTAAGAGCGTGACGATCATATATAGTACTATGTGCGATCCTCTTGTATCCTTCGATTGCGTGCGTACGTATATGTGGTTTACGTAAACTGCGTCATCTGTCAATCATTGTATCGCCATACCGATTTTATCATCTCCCACATTTTTTTTCCCCCCAGTTTAAAAAAGTTAGTACCGTTCGACTCGCGGACTCGTCTGCATAAAAATACTCAGTCGTGTCCCAAAAGTCCATTAACCGTAGCAACAATCCAGGAGAGGCAGAGTTGGCGTCGCATACCGATCAATTACTCTCGCGCCGCGTGGTTTCGCGCGTTGGCTTGCGTAACGCGAAAAATCTAATTTGCACACAAGGAGCCGAGCTCTGCCTCCCCTGCTTTTTACTCTCCCCCCATTATACTTTGTTATTACGGTCATACATAGGCGCGCGCGCTAATAGCCGCGACAGCTCATTAGCGCACGATCTTCTCTTTTGTGCTTAAGTGCGCGCTCTCGTCGCACACGCGCCTATACTTACTGCAGCTATGTGCACCAAGACGACCTTTGCGTTATCCGCTATCGCGTGCAACTCACGTTACGACGGAGCAAGTAATAACAAAAGCTCAAGTTTACTTTTGTTTTTCGAAAATTCCAAACGAAATTGATTGCCGCTCGCAATAAATTTTCCCAAGTGCAGGTATAATCTCATCGAGACGTGGAAACGAGGGTGAGTTTTACTAGAGTTGCCGATCGATAAGGGATACGCGTGTCCGATTACTAAATAATTCATTTCGAGTGAGCGTGTTGCCATCAATTTTCAAAAGTATATGGTATACACCGGCTAATGTCGGGCCGACGCGTCGATCAATCATCCGTAAAACTGTCCATTAAAGGTGTACGAGGAGGATTATTGATTTTACGAGCGTCAAGGTGAATAACAGGAAATTACCGGGTGCGATTTCAACGACTCCGCACAAATGTAGCGAAAATCGTGGTGAACGGTGAGGAAACGATTTTTCCGATCCCCAGCATTTATACATATTCGCTCCGAAGCGATTTTGCGCGAAATTATAATATGATCGACGGAACTTCCGAGCCAAGCCACGATGTATAATGACCCATTAACGCGAACAATGAAAATTTCGGCATTGTTTTACATGTCTAGGCATGGATAATAACGGAGGCACAGTCCTCTCGGATGATTAAACGCGTAAATTGGAAAGTAAGTGTATATGTACGGGGGATGAGAGCAAAAAGCGCCCTCCCTCGCCCACGAGAGACAGCGTATATATACTTTGGCCCAATGTCAATCCGGACGATTAGTCGGGCCTGGGGTGATTGGAAAAACGTACGCATCCCATGTGTTCGCCGATTTATCGATATGATCGAACTCCCGCGCGCGTCAGTTGTTCCCTGCAGCCGGACAAGTTGATGGATTATTCAACGACGGACGGGGACTTTAATTATTCGTTTTTCATTACGCGTGGGGCTGTATATAAGCTCACAGAGCTCTGGGTGCACGTGATGGGAGACAGCTCGCGGAGCACGTGTCAATTAACGACGCGAGTCCTCTGGTGACGCTCCGCTCGTTTTTATCGTGAATTTTTTCTTTTTCTTTTAACTGAAAAACCAACGACGGGATTATTTATGTTTGCCATTGGTAAGAGACTGATTAAAGCAGACGTGCCGCGAGTCTATGGTATTACACGCTTCGAAAAATATATATCATACATTCGTAAAAGGGACCCATTGGAGATAGTCGCGAGGGTTTTACGTAACATTCGATGTATCGTATGCACGTAAAATCCATAAACGTAACGTATACAGACGAGGATCTCCGTGATGGGCGATGCACGTGGAAAAATGTTTGAAACGAGAATATCAATAAGGTCTGATGAGGCGAGCCGGTGCAGGGAACACAATATAATAGCCGGCATGATAATATCCACCTGCAGTGGAGAAAGAAGCAACCATGTAACGTGTAGGACGATCGTGCTGATCCTCGACCGCGACTCGGGAGCGTTAATTGCCGGGAGAATGTTCACATTATGTATCTATGTATATTATATTATATATATATATACATGTATATATATACACATGACACGGGTTAAAAAGCTGTATTGGCTCGTTGTGTGCAGCGATGGTGTCTCTCGGGCCTGCAGAGAGCGCAGGGTAAGGGGGGGGGGGAAAGACGGCGGAGTTCTTTCTCTCGAAAAGTTTTCTCGCGGTGAAAGTCTCCGCGGCTGGCTGGTATGTGCGGGACACCCCGGCAAGCCGGTCCATACTTATTGGTTATACCGCTGCACGAGCTATATATATATATACAGGTATTGTATGTATATGTATACGTGATGTGAGTTGTGGCCTTTTTTTCTCTCTCCCTCTCGTATACATACTCGGCGTGTACAAGTATACCGATTATGCGTTAATCGAAAGTAGGAAATACGCAGGTTCGTGGGTATATTACAGGTGCTATAGCGTGCACGTAGGCTTTTCTTTTTTTTCCAAGCTATTCGAGCGCGACGTTTTTAAGGAAGTGTTTTGGAAAATCTCATCTTTTGTTCATATGTATATGTGCCTTTGAAGTTACTCGACATCCAAAGTACAATAGTAGCGGTCACGTTGAAAAATTGGTAAAAAATAAATAAAATACCGTCTTAGGTAGAAACACAAACATTTATAATCTTTTACTGTACTTGATGAGAAAACTTTCTAGCCACTGTATACAGTAATATGCTGTTATGCAAAGTGTTTCGACTATTATCTCACAAAAGGATTGCAGAGCCCCTGCAACGAAGAGCATCACGTAAATCTGCGTATGGCGGCAACTATACAAAATAATTTTTTTTCATACTTCAGTGATTCAGAAGCACTTTTACCCTTTTTCTCTTCCCACGTCAAACTCGGAATGACACGTATCCTCGTTATGCTTTACATTATACAACTCGGTATAAGTGTAGTTGAAAAAAAAAAAAAATAATAATAAAATAAAAAGAAAAAAAAAAATATTCCGCGCCAACCCGAAAAACACATTCCTCCGCAACGAGCCTCTTGGCGAATTATGCAATGGCTAGCGAGAGAAATATCGTAATTTAAAATTGACTCGGACAAATGAGTTTCCAAGTAATTTTATAACGACCGCAAGCGGAGTACGATCGACTTGGCCGCTGCTTACGTAAAAATTCGGGAAGGGGGACGATCCACTATGGGTTTTTCGACAAATTCGCGTTGGCAGCGACGGCAGTGGGAGACAGGAAATGGGCGCTCGTGAAATTTTTTCTACATACACTTCAAAACACAAAATTATCCACGTTACTGCGCGCTTGGTATCGTGCATGGATGATGGAGAAACCTCACGTGGGTACAGGAAGAATGAAAATAGGGTACCAAAAACCATCGACCAAAACATGTAAAAAGATCGAGAGAGAGAGAGAGAGAGAGAGAGAGAGGTAACGGTAAACGCGAAGTAGCCACACAAATACCGGACACGGATGTTGTTAAAGACCAATATAATACGTGAAAACTGATACGAGGAAACGAGAAAACTACCAAGGCAGACTATACGTCTATCGATGGTAAGAGTTATAGAAGACATTCAAAGCACTGCATAGTAAATTTTACGTATGTAAACAAAAAAATCGATAAAACTTAAGAATACAAAAAACAGCTCGATGTTCTGAGATGGATGATGAGTCAGATTTATTTTTCCCCAACTTTATATGACAAGAAGAAATACGAATATCTTGCTTCGCACCATTTCTCTTCTTACTGTGGATTTCCCGTGTAAACTCAAAGCACAGCGACAACGGAACTCCGTGTACAGTATCTCACACTCCATAGGCCATTTGGTATACGTGATTATTCCCAACGATACATAATCGCGTCTCCTCTCGCTGCATATATCAACTCACGCACACTCGTCACACCCAAGTCTCTTACACGCATTCATTTGTGGCAACTTTCTCTCACTTGCGGCTCACGTTAGATCCCTTACATTATGTACACGCGCTATAACAGCCAGAATATACGTATGGTACTTGCGTTTACGCATTACTTGTATACATTACATCCAGCTTATCTATCGAGAAAAGTTAAGTTGAACCGTTGGAAGTTGTACAAGGAGTGTCAAAATTATGATACAAGTCACTTTGCGCTCCAACGAGCCAAGCGGAGTGAAATGTTTTCGCTCGGAAGTTTTGCGCCGTGCTATATACGTGTCTTCCCGAGTACGAGTGCGCGCGGCTCGTGTTTAAAAAAAAAAAACAAAAAAAAAAAAAATCGATCGGAAAATCGAGAGAATCGAGGAGCCATCGTACATGCGACCAACACAAAAAGTGAAAAAAACAAAAAAAAAAAAAAAACACGCCGTAAGACTAAACTCCTGTCGCGCGGCCAAGTTTTTCAAACAAGAGGATATACTGTTCCTGCGGGGAAGCCATTGTCCGCGCGAGCGGAAATTGAAACCACTTTCCGGTGCCGAGACAACGACGAGGGTTGAATGTTGAAAAAAAAACGAAAAGAATAGCCTGATTCTAGTGGAGTCTGCTCGAGAGAGATGAATCATATTATACCTTCGCGTTGTATTTCATTCCCTTCCACGTCACGGAGACGAAGCCGTGAAAATCATATACGCGTCTAATGGTGAAAATAAAGTTATCCGCTCGAGCAAACAGGGAATTACGCTAACAACTTTCACATCGTAGCATACAGTCCCAAACACCGCACATTTTTTTCTCTCCCTCGCGCGCCATTTCGATTTTGCGCTTATTACGTAAAACTTACGTCCCATACTGGCGAGAAAAGAAAAAAAAAATATATATCTATAAATGTATATGTATACATGCCGTGCGCACACGCGCAATAATTGCACGTACAATCTTCATCTGCGCTCATATACGTGTCGTATGAGTACGCGCAAAAAGTGTGTGGAAGGTGAATCTTGTGCCGACCGGAGGAAAGGGAAAAAAAAAAGAACTCGAGTTTCGCGCTCCCCTCGATCGTGCCGGATAGATAAGCTCGCGGAGCGCATCATCATCTCTGTCATAACTAACTTGGCCGACGTACAGTGCAGTTTTTTTTTTCTTCTTCTTTGCCAACTATATTATAATGTTGTATCCTCGGTAACGCGATTACGCCGGTATAGCGATGACGGTGCGTTGCAGTTTGATAATATTTCGAAGCGCGCGATGTATATACCGATTTTTCCAAGTATATATACGAGGTCGCGGCTAATAACACGACGATCGAAGGGAAATAAATATTTGAGCTGCCGAAGGAGAAAGATATAATCCAGTCGCAGCGACCTCCTTGGAAAAACTCGCCGGGTGAGTCGTGCGGAGGTAAAAAACGAGGGCCGATTGACCGTAATTTTTTTTTCCTCCGCGCGCGATATCTAGGATGCGCTAATGCGAGACCGCGCGCGTGCGACCTTCGGGAGGAGATTTTTTTTTTCCTCTCCTTCTTCCTCGCATCCGTTTGCGCCCAATCGCGCTGTGCCGTTATTACTAACGATTGCGAGGAATTCACGCGCACAAATTATACATGTACAGTTTTGAAATTGGTGAATAAACAGCTGTAGTCTTAATAGCTACGGTGTGATTGCAGTACAAGAATATATTATATAGAGTATGGGTGTACGAACCTCTGGGCATTCCGCAGGGCCCGGGTGTCCTGGCGTTGTCCAGGAAATCGAGGTCGTACTGGCGCGCCTTGGGGAAGGTCAGCGCCACGTGTCCGAAGACATCCCTCGCCAGGAGCAGCAGCACCACCAGACTCAAGCTTCTCGAGTGCATCGTTGGTCCTTTGCTGAGCCCCTACGCGCCGGCCGGCCTTCTCCTCGCCAATGGTCCTCGGTCAGCTTGCCTCATGGGGCACAAAATATCGGACGGCTCTACGGCTGCTGGTGGCTGTTGGACTTTCGCCACTCCGATCTGCGACAAACATTAAGTACTCCGTTATACCGTTGTTTTACAGCTTTTCAAACGCGAGGTGTTTCAATACGCGTCTAATTGTTTTCGGACTTTACTGGTATTGCCGACTCCTCATCGTGACGCAACTGAGCGTTTGAATATATAGCTCGAGCTGCGCTACAATTACAACGGTCATAATATTTACGTTTCCTACTGTTGCGCGGACGATTCCGGGGCTATACGGTTGACGAGGTGATTGGAAAGAACATTTTTTTTTTTTTTTTTTTTTTTTTGCGCTCTTTTTCAAACCAGTGTTGAGCAACGGATCTTGCAACAACTAAGGCCTAATTGGTTAATTTATTTCTCATAATTAAAAGATTATTCCGAACTCGGTTGCTTCGCGAGTACGAGAGTTCTTGGCGTTTCTAAACCTTACGTTTTATCTTTATCTTTTTTTTTTTTATTTCAAACCATTTACCTAGTACATGTCCATATGTAATAAAAGCTAATTGATCTTTCAGCTGGATGGGAAATAAATCTTTTGAAAAAAAAAATCAGCTTAATTTGGACCGAAGCCTTGATCACTCGAGGCCTACTGCAACTAGGCGTATCTTCCCAAAGATAAGTGCCGGGACTTGCACGCACCTCCAAGGACGAGCGGAGAGGAAGATACGTGTAATAAAACAGGAAGCAGCACTGGTGTGTAGCGGTACAGCGAATCCCCCCCCCACTCGAGAGGAAGAACAACCTGCGTCTCGTCGCCGATGCTCGCGAGAATAATCTTTCTTTTTTTTTTTTTTTTTTCTTCTCCTCGGCGCTTTCTTTTTCACGACGGACCGCAAAGAGTGGCCGGCTCATTATAAACACTCGCACGCCAAGAGAGCTGTTTTACAGTTTTGAAACTCGCGTCTCGCGCGCCGCCACTTGGCTTCGATAAGGATTTACATTTCGTTTTTTTTTTTTTTTTCTTTTCTACCTCTCCCCTCTACTCGCGTCTCTGGCTCATTAAGCGTGTAGTATGAAATTTTGCGCAACGGTACACTCGAAGGGACACGCGTGTGCGATTATTTCGAGCGCGAATCAATAAACAAATTAACGAGACTCGAGTGGCGCGTCGTACTACGTGGTGGTTTTTTTTTTTTTCTTCCGCGCATTTTTTCGTCGATCGAGAGGAATAAACAGCCATACGGGAAGTAAGTACTATACGCGACTTGTAATATAGAAAGCCGATGGAGTTTGGCGTGACTTACATATAATATGTACCTGCAATTTTCAACACTACGTAATATACACTCGGCGTTTCGCAACGTATTTTTGAATTCCCGCGGCCGCTGAATCTGCATATTTTACGTAAGCTGTATTATATACCCCCGATTTTAAAACAAAGCTACACAAACAAATGAAGCACGTTGGGCTTTTGCGTAACGCGCGCGTCCTGCATCGAATGACGAACCAAAGTCGAGTTGAAACTTTTTTTTTTTTTTTTTTTTTTTCAGCTCTCAAAATACACCTGTAGGTGCTTGAAACGAAATCTCCAAAGACATCGGAATGCGGGAGCCAATGTCGCATCGGTTTCTCGATCCCGAAACACAAGGAGGCATCCAGTAGAAGTGACAGCCACGAGGAGGTCCTCGCAAGCTCAAGGTAAGTATTATACTTATTCACCTTTTGTGACGCGTGGTTCGACGCAACAAACACGCGCGAGCACCGATCCAGCGAGTATTACCTATACATAAGAAAGGCTGCCGCGAGGCAATACCAAAAGGAATGCGCGCCGGTCGCGTATGTGGAAGGAGATATATTGTATATACCCGCGCGAGTATAATAGACAATAGAGAAAAGAAGGAGGGAAACACTTTCCTGTGCAGTATCGGTATACAGGTATATATTTATACCGGTACGTGGTCCACGATAATACTTGTGAGCCAGAGGCGAGCCGTAGGGAGATATCTATACCCGTACTGCAGGCTCGGCCGCAGATGCCAAGGATGCCGAAGAGCCCAAGGCCGCAAATTCCTATTGGACGTATGTATACATATATATCGTATGTACAGGTATAGGTGTGCGTGCGCGCGTATACGTGTATATAATTTTGTTTTCTCTCTCTCTCTCTCTCTCGGCTATCCTCGAGGAGGGAAGCGCCAAGAGTCATGCACCCACGGGTCTCCTCTCGAACTCGCAGATATACGTAGATATACATATCTATTTGCGACGCTTATATATATGTATACCGATCGGAGGAATCGGAGACTGCACGTATAGCCTGTGGTTTTGCGAATCGACTTTCCAACTCGATAATGGATGAGGTCGTGGGGGGGGGGGAATCAGTTCACGGACGGACATCTGTAATCTGCCGATCTTTTATTCATGGCCCCCTCTGCAGGCAGACGTACTTATTTCTTGGAAATCAAAGCTTCGAGTTGAATTTGCGCAACGTGTAAGCGATGACCAAAAGAATCGGGGGACAATTAACGCCGCGTCGGTGACATTCTTCATCGTTGGCACTTGCGAAACTTTCGAAGCGTTAAAAGGTATGTATATAAATATGTACGCGCTAAATCGGCTAAGAAGTACTATAGTTGTGTATTTTAATACCTGCGAGTATCGATTTCTCACTCGCGGATGGGGAAAAAGTCGAGGAAGCGTTTCCTTGGTAAAATTCGCGTGCGTGTCTTCATCCACGTGGGAAAAAAACGCGAAAACCTTCTCACCTGAGACGTTCAATGAACGCGCGTTGCTACGTTTATCGTGTAGGTATAAATACCGGAGCAGAAGAGCCGCGTACAAGTCTCATTATTAGCGTTTTCTAGCGCTTCGGGTGGCTGATGCTTTATTATCATAGGAATCGCGGGGCGTGTGTTGCGCAACGACACGTACAGGTACATCCTTTCATCGAGAGAGGGGCTAAGAAGAGCCGTGGGCTCATCTCCATACGGTACTTATACATACGTACAGGTACATTTATTAGACGTTCTCTTTCTCCGCGCGACTCCCACCCCAACCGCGTCAGATAAAACTTTACGAACAACCATACCTCTACCGACGATCGGTTGGCACTCGCATCCACGGCAATAAACAACACCCGCGACTTTGGCACTTTTATCATAAAAATCCCTTCCCCCCCCCCAATGAGTATACTACTTACGAGTGCTCCGATGCACACGCGGAAGAACCGTACAGCTATATATGCACACGAGTTTCAATGATACATGTAGTATATGTACGTTATACACGCGCGTTATAAAACCGAGAGCGAAAGCGAAAACTGCACGAGGGGCGCACCGCGCGCTCTCGATACTCGCACATAATAATATGTATGTGTAAACGAGAGGATGGTTATATTTACCTTTGCTCGGTTAAACACTTGGTGTTGGTATACGAAATGAGAGGAGGAGGCAGAGCAGCGAGTGATCCCGGCTGCAGCAGTGGTATACCTGGTTGGTTCACCAACGGGGCGTCATTTGCGGCAATAAAACAGAATTAACCGCACCAACAAACCAAATCACTGTATATAACGTTGTAATTGTTGATTTTTGTTTTTTTGTTTTTTTGCAATACCCGGACTCGCAAAATTCAAGGGGCAGCCATTTTGGTAGCAGCTGGTGCGCATAAAATATTACGCGAGCGCGGGACCCTCTAATGGTCTAGTATGTCATGTACGAACGACACTGACACATGCACTGTTCCCTTCGAGACGTGGGTATATATATGTACATGTATATGAATACACGTAAGCTGGTGTACCGATCGTTTATGTAGGGTACACTGTGCGAAAATGATGCGTGTGGCCGAGGGAGATCGGCAAAGGGAAATAGTGCGCTGGACGTGAGCGCGAAACGAAGATCGGCCGAGGACTGAGCCGCCACGGAAAAACACGGGCGAATGTCTTGGAACGGGCTCCTTCTCTCCTCCTGACTTGCCTCGCGATCGGCCGCGCTCGCGGGCTCTCGGGCCTCCTCGGCAGTCAACAACGTCGAGCACCTTTACCTCCGCGCCTCGACGAAAACGAGCCTCCTCCTCCTCCTCTACACCGATGATGGGAAGGCTGATGCTGTTGTATCTGCTCTCGTTGCCCGTACATCTTTCGCGGATTCTTCCGCGTGGCAGGAGGGGAGGAGGATGACTGGACCGGCAGGTTGCGCTCGTTTCTTTTTTCGGGCCAAACTCATCTTTGCCTCCTCCTCCTCCTGAGGAAGAAATTTGGAGCGCGAGAGCAGAGCACAACATTCCCCCCCTCTCTCCTCCGATGATGAGCATTGCACTTTGGCGTCCGCGAGTGACTCGGCGGTTTGTCCCTCGTCCGTCCCGGGCGACGATCGTTCCGCTGGTGCGTGGAAATTGATGGGTTTGGATTTTTTCGCTCCGATCCGCCACGTGCAATCTGGGCTTGATCAAATACCTTGATGGGGGGGGGGGGGGGAGAAAAAAAAGAGGGCAACGATGACGACGACGACCGAGTTTGAGTCGAGAGGAAGCTGGGCCAGTCTTATTGATTCCGAGCGACGTTCCTTTTTTTTTTTTTTTACTTTAGGTGGTAAAATCGAAGGAAAGTCTCGAAACTCCGAGCACCAGCGTCCCCTTGATTAACGACACGTAAAATTCTACTAAAAAGCCAAGGCTACTTTTTATCATCGACTCGTATATTTTCCATACCAATCTTGGACTCCTGGCTATGAGCAGAGATAATCGGTAAGATAAATTTTCATGAAAAGAAAAATAAAAACACTAGTAGTTCCTTCACCTACGGGCAATGAGACGAATCGGTGTACGCCACACGAGTACAATAATCCAATCGGTATTTCGCAGTTTAGCAGAGTGAAGTGACCTATACAGTCACGGGTATACACATCGGTACAACAGTTGAGGGTATTATGGCTCCGCTCCGAATCTCTGCACGAAAGACAGATAGCGATCTCTGTATCACACCACCGAGAGCAGCCACACGAGAAGGATCCACTGCGGAATACAACACTCACGTATATACACATGGTCGTGCACGTACACATGGCACAAGATCGGTAACGAGGTAAGTATCGGTACGTGCGGATCGGACCGGCTATTCGCTCCACTTGCGACTCTCGAATTTCTAACGGAGGGGGGAAAAAAAAAACAGTAGCTCCGTGGACATTGATACTTGCACCCATATTAGTATACAAACAGTAAAAAGGCCCGTGAAGTTGATGGCCATGCCCATGTGTATATATGTAAAGGGTTGTGAAAGGAGCGCGGGGCATTTTGAATGGGACGCCGATCGATCGCGTGCACCAGCGTATATATACTTATACCGATATTATACATACACCCGCAGGTTACAGTAGTATGCTCACGTAGACTTGGCGTGCAGGATATAAATGTATATAGGCGCGTGTATATACAATATGTACATATTAAATATGCTGCACGCGAGCGCAACCTATTATACCCGTAAGGGGGATACGTCGGTGGGCGACGGGGCACACAAGAGAGGAAATAAACGATGGATAAATAATAACGTATGCTCGGCACGATGCCTCGAAGACTTTGATGCCAGCGCAGGACTCTCTTTCTAACGTCATTTCCAGCAGCGTATATGGTTAACCACTCGCATCTCAATTACCCGAATACTTGATGAACTTTGGGCGCGGATGTAAGCTGCACGTATACGCGGAGAGGCGCGCCAACTCGCGATCGCGGATCGGGAGGAGAGAGATGAAGTTCGCTCTGCTCTTGTTTCGCTCGGCGAGAAAGGGGGATCAATGTCGTTCTGCGGCCGAATTCTGATCGTCGCGGAAAAAGAGAAAGGGCAGAAGAAGAAGAAGAAAATGGAAGAAGGTGCAGAAGACCCACCGGTGCACGCAGGACGACGTATATGTTTGCAAGTGTGCAGGTGATATGGGCAGCGCACGTATACGTATGTATACAAACACAAATATGATATATACCGTTGCGCAACGAGGATGTTCCTGTACGATATGTGTAAGTAATGGCACCACACATATGTGCTCTGCACCTGCGGTAGGTAGGTTAGCAGATAGTGCGTACGAAGAACCTGTATTCGGTGGAGGCCCGCAGGTGAAATGACTTTCTTCTCTCCCTATCTTCGGGAGAGTGCATGATCGAGAGCGAAACGGACGCGATTCCACGAGTGACTATATGTATATATATGATAACTGCTGCGCGAGAGAAAACTATGTTACAACAGACATATACTTGAAGAAGAATCTTTAATCGCGATTATTTGTGTCTGATGTACATGTGTACAAGGTAACGAGTGTCGCAGTGTTTTTATATATACATACCCTCCTTTGTGTTCAATCGTGTCATTGTCTATACACATTGATACCCATAGGTGACTTTTTTTATCGCCGATTCGCGACTCTGTGTACCACCGTTTTTGCTGAAACTGCGCCTCCCGATCGACGACGATACCCATCGATGCATTTTTCATTTTATTTTTTTATTTATTTTTTTTTTTTCGCTACCTACGGCTCTTCTCAATCAGCTCGGAGCCGAGTGATTTTTAATTGGCCGCGCGCTCCTCCGTAGGTTTCAACATTGTAGGTGCGCTCATGAAAGGCTTGTGTAGAGTTACCGATCGACGCTGTTTTGCCAATATTACAGAACTCGATTGTATACGTACGGGCATAATCGGCAAAGTCCTCGCACACGTGACGAGGATCATCTTTCGCACCTGGCCTCCCCTACAATTACCCGAAATTAGCTGTACCGCACTCATGTAGGTACGTATATATTATATTCGTGCAAGAGTCGCTCTTTTTGATGGCAAGATTGGCAGAGTGTGTTGCATATCGCAATAGCGTATACGAGCGGAAAAAGGAGACGGCAGTACAGCGCGGAGCAAAATATCGTGCGACCCAGAAACGTGGAAACCCAAATTATGGAAGTGCCGGCTCTTTGCGGACAAATGTAGCGAGAGAGAGAGAGAGAGTAAAAAAAGGGAGGAGAATGGGGATATACGTATAATATTACATTATCGGGAGTCATGTGGGCCGGTGCATGCGATTACCCATATTATATACGTATACACGCGGTCTATCGTCCCGTGCTCTCCTCGGCTCTGATAAATCGCTCGTTTTAATTCGGATCGGCTTGCAAAACTACGATTATTTATTGCGAGCGTGACAAAGTTTTTACCCCGGTGAATAAATAACAAATGCGCGTGGACGTACACGTACGATAAGAACTACACCGTCGAGATACCGGTATAATGTTTTGCGCCTCCATAGCTGGAAAATGTACATGATACATTTTGTAATTTGAATAATTGGAATTTCACGAAAACTTGTGTAATTACACGCCTATACATGTACGTGTCCGAGTATGTATAATGTTAAGAAAGTAAAAAGGAGGAAGGAAGGAAGGAAGGCTTGTGCAATCGATCCTTTTTTTTCTTCAACCTTTACATAAATATGACCATAACGCGCGCTCACTCGTATGTTATATGTTTTCTCTTTTCACGGCCTAAGTCGCAGTATCCCGATGTACGAGTTTTGATCGCGCGAGAGATCTCTTATTCTTTTCTTTTTCTTTTTTTTTTTTTCCNTTTTTTTTTTTTTTTTTTTTTTTTTTTTTTTTTTTTTTTTTTTTTTTTTCGTACGTAAAACGTAACTTTCAATGATGACTCTGCAGGTGAATTAACGAACGAATAAATGAAGAAGAAGAAAAAAAACTCCCTGTATATGGCTATACTGGCGAGTTAATAATTACGTTTCGAGCCGAGCACGTGCACGAATGTACACGCAGAAGAAAAAAAAGCTGGTGATACGTATATAGTAAAGCAAGTGTTTGAAATCCATGACGATCGTCGACACGACACCCGAGTCGGGACGTATAGGAAAAAACGAGCAAAAGGGTATTACATTAAATCAAGTCATTACAGAATAGGCGAGGGGGGGGGGGAAATGTTGCGAGGGCCCAAGGTGTGCGAGACAGAGGCAGGGATGAGATGTATCGTGGGGGTATGCATCGGCGCAAAAAAGAGAGACGTGTGGGTATAATCTGCAGGTTGGCCGGTGATGCTCATCTCGCGAGCGCGAGGGAGACGAGAAAAAGATCGATGGACGAGAAGGAGGCCGGTGCAGGGTATGTACACACGCGAAGGAGGATGAGGCGCATTCCTGATGGTGTTGCAGCCTCCCGGAGAAAGCCTCGCGCGCTTGTATTTGTATATCCTTAAACAACTCTTCTCAGATGATGTGTACTCTTTTTCCCCCAATATTATCCCTCTCTGCTTTTCTCCGTGAATCCATATATACATAATTTACGCCGATGTGCATACAATATAACGTAACGAGTGCAAAGAGGATTTCTTTATTTCCCCCTCTTTACTTGTAGCGCATCCAAGTGTCGTTTCGCCTTTTTCTACAGTCGGCTCCCTATGGACACGGTGGAGCTTCATAAAAACTTCACCTTCATGACCGATCTTATTCTGGATCAAGCCACATTAAATTCCAAATAGAAACACTATACTGCCAAAAGCCACGCACACAGACATCATCGTCTCCTGTGGAGGTTTTTTTTTTTTTTTTTCGTTGAAATCGCAGGATTTTTGGCTCTCGATCGCGGGGATGACGTACATAGGATTACAAAGAGCGCGCCAAGAGAGCCGATATAAATCGGCGAGAGATCGGCATGCAGCGAGCAGCCAAGTGAATTCTCGCTCCCCGGCGCGCCAAGTTTGCCTATACGTTATAGGTATATACATGAATGTATGCGCTGCAGCCTCGAGAGATTTATAAGAGCGCGATGGAATAGGTATATTCTGCATGGCGTTGAAGTCATTAGAGGACTCCCTTTCCCTTCACCACCTCTTTTATATATATATATACATGTATGTGATACGCGTGCTCTGGA